GCTAGAAAGAAAAGACCTTTGATGCTGAAATTAGGGTCTGATGATCACCTTCATCAGTTAATTCTTTTCCCTGTTTTCTGTTAGCTAAATGTAGTAGTTGGGTTGAGGGCTTTTTTGAGTTGCTTTGAGAATAAGCCAAATGTTAGAATAAAAGTAATTGTTTTAGTCCTGAGATAACCTTGGTGGTGGCTATTTCAGTCTCATAATTTGGAATATGAAACAGTGGAGGCCCAGACAACTTAAGTGGCTTGCAAGAGAACACATGGATAGTAAAGTGAAGAGACAGACCAGAATGACTACTTCACCACTGTATGCATATTGCTTAGGATGCCTGGCACATAGGAAATGCTCACTAAATATTTGTCCAATGAATAACTGAATGAACCCCAGGCTTCTGATTCCTTGTAGTAATTGTTCCACTGTACCATAAAAACTATGGGAGATTTAATTAAGAAAGGGTGTCTTTGAGCAACCAGGACCTGGTTGTACCTGTACAATGTCAAAGGATAAAGATTATCACAATATAGGTAGATTTCCCTAGAAACATAATCTCACATTCCATGGTATGTTAGTTTTCTAGGGCTATTATCACAAAATGCCAAAGACTGGGTAGTTTAACCAACAGAAATTTATTTTCTCAAAGTTATGGAGGCTAGAAGTAAAAAGTTAATGTGTTAGTCGAGTTGATTTCTTCTGAGAGCCATAAGAAAGGATCTGTTCCTTGTTTCTATCCTTGACTTGTAGATGGCTATCTTCTTCCTATGTCTTTACATCATTTTCCCTTTGTCTATGTCCATTTTTCCTCTTCTTATAAGGACGCTCAATATTCATATTGGGTTAAGGCCCCACCTATTGACCTCATTTTAATTTGATTACCATTTAAATACTATATATCCAAATATGGTTACATTTTAAGGCACTGAAGCTTAGGACTTCATCATTAGAACCTTTGCGGGGGGTCATAATTCATAACACATGGAGACCCAACTTTTCCATCACACAGCATAATAAACCCTCAACCCCATTTGCCAGCATCAGCCAAGGTGATGTTAATAGAGCTCCCAGTTTATAGTTAATAAAAGAGTCAATTCCTAGGCAGGTTGATAAGAAGTCTGGGGTCCCCAAGGAGGAGAAAGGGGTCTGGGGCTCTTGAAGTGGAGATAGGGGTCTGGAATTCTCAAGGAGGAGGAAAGGACAAACATCTTTTTTTCTCTAGATTCCTTAGTCTTAGTCACATAAAACATTTTTTTTCTTTAAACCAGGAACTGATGATTACACAACAAACAACTCAGTTTAAACTCTGTACTAAGGATTATGTAAAAACAATGTATCCTGCTTGAGGACAGTTTCTCCTTCCTGGAAACCTTCTGGCTAATCCTGTTATCTTAAAATGTAAATTATGGGAGTGGGTCTAGTAAGATCTTCACAACCTTGAGACATTCTTTTGATTTATTGTAATAACTAATTAAAAAGTATATAACTCCCTTGGCTAACACTAGCGAGGGGGGCATTCTCTGTCCCCCTTCTGACGTCTATGTCAGAAGCTTTCTCTGTCCCTTTTTATACTTTAATAAAAATTTGCTACACAAAAGCTCTTGAGTGATCAAGCCTGGTCCCTGGTCCTGAAGTTAAATCTTCTTCAGAGTTCACAAATCCGAAGCTGTTCACCTTAAGCTGTCAGTTAAGCAGCCAATTTCCCAAAAGCCTCAAGATTCTTCCCATGCATGTACATTATCCTGGTGGAGCAGGAGGGTTGCCTGCCAGTGTATTCTCCTGCCAGCATGCTAAAATAAGAGCCATAGGGCATAGGCTGGCTGAACTTTTTAAAAGTACATGTTATTATAATTGTGATGAAACAATACTTTCTTCTTTGGAAATTGGCTCTTTCCTCATCTTGTGAAGTGCTGCAAGAAGTGTGAAGGACTTTGATTATTTTTTATCATGGTTATTATGTTGAACTGTCACTTAGATGATGAGTGTATATTTCAGAAGCATCCTGGGGTTGGGATTTATAAGGAGGCTCTGGAATGAGTGTCTACTGAGAGGACGCTGGGGAAAGCCAGTGAGGCTCTTTCCAGGTTTCTGTGGAGATTCTTAGTAAGTAAAAGCATACACTTAAGAGGAAAGTACTTTTGCAGTGAGAAATCATTTGAAAGAGATGGAGCTCCAAGATAGTACCAGGGGAGTCCCAAGATTTGTCTTTAGTGGGCATCTTCTATTTGTGTTAAAGTGAGAGAGAAGCTCCTGCTCCTTTTTTTTTTTTCCTCCTGCTCCTTGAAAAAAGTGCCACCTTACTCTCTCAGAATGATACAAGAGCCATAGGCTTAGCTTTCTTGTCTCCACCATTGACCAAAATGTTGTGTCTATATTAGGAAATCTTCTCAACCTTGACCCTCAAAATTAGAAATGATACTATCTGACATCAGGGCCTTCTTGGATTTATTCCTAGTTACCAAGGTGTGAATATTAAATATAGATTCCAGCAGGTGGAATAGGGGTGTTCGGATCTTTAGATGATAGTCTGATGCTTTTGTCCTGATTATTATTAAGTACCTTCTGACTAAGTCACCTCATGGATTGTGTTGCTTAAATCAAGAGATCATTTAATTTTTGTATTGCCAAGCTGAAGTTTCAGGCCATTTTCTTCTATTGGCTCATCAGACATCAGAGACCAAGAAGCTGCTGTGTTCTTAGAAGGAAATATTAACAAATACTGGATGCACCATTATTTGTCATGAGCAGTGAGTCACTGCCAGAGAGTGTTACTAAAAGGTATGTGAAATCTGGCCGCTTGCTGCTTAAAAGCCAATAAATAGGCCAGGTTGGTAGAAAGCAAAGTTTGCTTTTTTCCAGATTCTGGCAACTGGGGATGGGGGTGGTGGATGTCTGTCCAAAGGCTGACTGCCCCCACTGGCAACCACTGGGGCAAGAGCTTTTATAGACAGAAGTAGGGGGTGAAGGGAGTATATGCAGACCATTACAGTCTACAGTCATCTCTGACAGTCATCTTCAAATTGGCATTGATGGTCTGACCAGCATCATGCTGGTTGTTTTAGATATAGTTATCTTCAATTCCAGTATCCATTTCTTTCCATTTCTTTGAGGCGAGGCCAGTTGTCAGAATTGTGGCAGCTTATGTTATGGCTAAAGTCTGGTCATCAGTAGTTAACCTCTCCACCTGGTGGGGATTTGGTATCTATAAGACAGCTCACAGGATATGGCTCAGAATATTATCTAAAGCCCTTGAGAAGGAATTAAAGGTCCTTGACTGTGCTTCAGTTCAGTCACTCAGTCGTGTCTCTTTGTGACCCCATGGACTATAGCATGCCAGGCTTCCCTGTCCATCACCAACTCCCAGAGGTTACTCAAACTTATGTTCATCAAGTGAGTGATACCATCCAACCATCTCATCCTCTGTCATATCCTTTTCCTCCCACCTTCAGTCTTCTCCAGCATCAGGGTCTTTTCCAGTGAGTCAGTTCTTCATATCAAGTGGCCAAAGTATTGGAGCTTCAGCTTAAGCATCAGTCGTTCCAATGAATATTCAGGACTGATTTCCTTTAGGATGGACTGGTTTGATCTCCCTGCAGTCCAAGGGACTCTCAAGAGTCTTTTTCAACACCAGAGTTCAAAAGCATTAATTCTTCAGCTCTCAGTTTTCTTTATAGTCCAACTCTCACATCCATACATGACTACTTGAAAAACCATAGCTTTTACTAGATGGACCTTTGTTGGCAAAGTAATGTCTCTGCTTTGTAATATGCTGTCTAGGTTGTTCATAGTTTTTCTTCCAAGGAGCAAGCATCTTTTAATTTCATGGCTGCAGTCACCACCTGCAGTGATTTTGGAGCCCAAGGAAATAGTCTCTTACTGTTTCCATTGTTTCCTCATCTATTTGCCATGAAGTGATGGAACCAGATGCCATGATCTTAGTTTTCTGAATGTTGAGTTTTAAGCCAACTTTTTTATTCTCCTCTTTCATCAAGAGGCTCTTTAGTTCTTCTTTGCTTTCTGCCATAAGGGTGGTGTCATCTGCATATCTGAGGTTATTGATGTTTCTCCTGGCAACCTTGATTCCAGCTTGTGCTTCATCCAGTCCAGTGTTTCTCATAATGTACTCTGCATCAACTTAAATAAGCAGGGTGACAATACACAACCTTGACATAGTCCTTTCTGGATTTGGAACCAGTCTGTTGTTCCATGTCCAGTTCTAACTGTTGCTTCTTGATCTCTGTACAGATTTTTAGGAGGCAGGTCAGGTGGTCTGGTATTTCCATCTTTTCAAGAATTTTCCACAGTTCATTGTGATCCACACAGTGAAAGGCTTTGGCATAGTCAGTAAAGCAGAAGTAGGTGTTTTTCTGGAACTCTCTTGCTTTTTCTATGCTCCAATGAATGTTGGCAATTTGATCTCTGGTTCCTTTGCCTTTTGTAAGTCCAGCTTCAACATCTGGAAGTTCTTGGTTCATGTACTGTTGAAGCCTGACTTGGAGGATTTTGAGCATTACTTTGCTGGCATGTGAGATGAGTGCAATTGTGCGGTAGTCTGAACATTCTTTGGCATTGCCTTTCTTTGGGATTGGAATGAAACTTACCTAATGACTACCTTATTTTTATTTGGTCTCCTTTGACTGTTGTCCTTTGTTTCTATGTGTTCTCATTTCTCTGATTAAACTTGACTAAAGTTTTCCACAGACAAAAGGCAGGACATGGGGGGAAGGGCCATAGGGCCCTGTTCCATTTCAGAAGGACAAAGACAGCTGCAGAGTCAAGAATAAAAATACTTGGAAAAAGAATCCTAACTTGGGGGTGGAAATAATATAGCATTCACTCTAATAGAGAAAAAATGTTTGTGGAGAATGGAGTTTTTTTTTTTTTTTTTTCACAATCAGACATCAATGATAGTAACCAAATACCCTTAAATGACTGGAAAGTTATGTCAGTTCCCAGACCATTAAATCTTGAGTTACGGTTTGATGCACAGTTAAAACAGACAAAAATAATTGCCAAAATATTTATTATTAATTTTTTACACAGTCCAATTATTTTAACATGTCTCCAAGGTAGTATCAGTAGGCCTCAAAGGATTGTGGGTTGACAGGGCTTGTCAAAGGGCCTCTAGGGGCTTGCCCCCTCTGTCCACAAAACTTCCCTTTTCCCCACCCCCAAATGCTCTGTGATCTCTTGTTGGCTCTAGAGCAAGACAGATGTTTACAGGATCCTGAGCAAGTCCCTTCTCAGCTAAAATTAACAAAGGCAGTAATATTCTCAAGCTCATCCAAGACTGGGGGAAAGGAACTAAATGCTACAGGCTACAGCAGACATGGTTTTAAAGTTTGAGCTCTGGAGTTGTTTGAGAAACACCTTGCTTTTGCTTCATGATATTTTAAATATTTATGGAGTTAAGTGTAAAAGAAATCTAATTCAGATTCCAAGTCTTATAGATATTTCTTCCAAGTATGGGCTGAATTCACAGTGACTTTTTCTAGAGAAGCCATTCCTCCTGCTCCTGCACTATTCAGGGGTTCTTAGAAAAATTCAGTCCCCTTGCAGAATCTGTGCTAATTATGCCACAAAAAGGGGAAGGCTATTTGGAGATATACATTAACATAATTTAGGCCAGGAAGAAATATCAACTTGAACATAAAAAATATCTGAGCTCTCTACAGGATGGGTCAACAAATAAAAACCTGACCCATTCTTTTGAATCTCAAATGTACATAATATTTTTGTTACTTCTGAAAGCAATGAATGAACGTGTTCCCCAAACAAAATTCCTTAAACAAATTAAATGGCTTTTATGTTTTTTAAAAATGCACACCACATCTGCACCAAAGAGCAAAGACATCCTAAAGAACTATTTAAGGAAGAATAAAAGGCAGAAGTACAAAGCACATGAAAAAGTATAGTTTAAGATTTTGTAAAAAAGAGTTATTCTAACACCAAAGTTTTCCCACAACCAGAGTCATATTGGTACTCAGTGATTCTCATTTTCCTTTGCTCGAAGCTTCAGCAGGTGTCGGGATTTGGCAGCATCTCTTAAGGGCGGTACTGAGATCTCTGCTCTTGGATGTACTCGTAGAGTGGGCTGGAGCGCACCGGGGCACTGGCAAACTGCCGCTTGCCAGCCTCCAGGACCTGCCGGCGGTCCTTGTCTTCCTCCCACACTTGGCGGCGGCTCTGCTGCACGTCGCGCTCTTGGCGACGCCTCTGCTCCTCCTGCTGCTGGCGGCGGAGCTGTTCTTCTTCCCGGAATTTCCTCTCCCGCTCCTGGCGGCGTCTCTGCTCTTCTTGCCTCAATTCTTGTTCCTGACGACGCCTCTTCTCCTCCCTAGCAAACTGCTCCTCCTCCCGGTACTGCTGGTCTAGCTGCTGCCGGCGCCTCAGCTCTTCCTGCTCCTCGCGGTGCAGCTGCTCTTCTTGCTCGAGGAACTTCCTGTCCTGCTCCTGGACGCGGCGCTTTTCTTCCTCTCGCTCGCGCTGGAGGCTCTGCTCTTCCTCGAGGAATTTCCTGTCTCTCTGCCTCTGACGTCTCTGTTCTTCCTCTTGCTCGGCGCGCCTCAGTTGTTCCTCCTGGGAGAAGACCCCCTCAAGTTCCTGACGGCGCAGCTGCTGTTCTTCCCTTTCTCGGAGGAGCTGTTTCTCTTCTCGGAACTTTCTGTCGCGCTCCTGGCGGCGCAGCTGTTCCTCCCTCTCTCGCAGGAGTTGTTCCTCCTCACGGAACTTCCTGTCGCGCTCCTGGCGGCGCAGCTGTTCTTCCCTTTCTCTCAGGAGCTGTTCCTCCTCACGGAACTTCCTGTCGCGCTCCTGGCGAAGCTGCGACTCCCGCTCCTGGAGGAGCAGCTGTTCTTCCCTTTCTCGCAGGAGCTGTTCTTCGCGGAATTTTCTATTTTGTTCCTGGCGTAGCTGTTGCTCGCGTTCCAGGCCGCGCAGCTGCTGTTCCTCTTCGCGGAACTTTCTGTCGCGTTCCTGGCGGCGCAGCTGTTCTTCCCTTTCCTGCAGGAGCTGCTCTTTCTCACGGAATTTTCTGTCTCGTTCCTGGCGGCTCAGTTGTTCTTCGCGGAATTTTCTATCTCGTTCCAGGAGGCGCAGCTGCTGTTCCTCTTCGCGGAACTTTCTGTCTTCTTCCGGATAGTGTATTTTCTCCCCTCTTTCCCCTTTCAGCAGCTGCTCTTCCTCTCGGAATTTCCTATCTCGCCTTTCGGTTTCCTTTTGCTGCTCTCGCTCCAGCAGTTGTTCAGCTGGGAATTGCCTGTCACGCTTTTGCCGGCTCCTCTCTTGCTCGCGTTCTCTTTTCTCTTCTTGTTCGTCCTGCAGGGGCCGCCGATCCTGCTGGAATTGGCTCTCCCGCACCCAGGAATCATCCAGTTGCCGGCTCTTTTCTTTGTTCTCTCGGTGTTTGGAGTAAACCCTGTTATCACGAACTTCATTTTGGAGCAGATCCTCATCCAGCAGTTGCCTCTTCCTGTCCAGGCGCTGCAGCTCCTCCTTCTCTAGCTGTCTCTCGAGCTCCTGGCGCCTCCTCTTCTCACATTCCTCTCTCTGCAGCTGCTGCTCCTCTTTCTGCAGTCGCTCCTCCTCCCGCAGCAGCTCCTCTTCCCGATATTGTCTTTCCCGCTCTTGGCGCCTCTTCTCTCTCTGCAGCTGCTCCTCTTCCCTCTGCAGCTCCACCTTCTCTAGATACTGTCTTTCGCGTCCCTGAAGCCGCTTCTCGCGTTCCTCTCTCTGCAGTCGCTCTTCCTGCCGCTGCAGCTCCTCCTTCTCGAGAAACTGCCTCTCACGCTCCTGGCGCCTCTTCTCGCGTTCCTCTCTCTGCAACAGCTCCTCTTCCTGCAGCTCCACTTTTTCTAGATATTGCCTCTCGCGTTCCTCTCTCTGCAGCTGCTCCTCCCGCAGCTCCACTTTCTCTAGATACTGCTTCTCGCGCTCCTGGCGCCTCTTCTCGCGTTCCTCTCTCTGCAGCTGCTCCTCCTCCCGCAGCTCCACTTTCTCTAGATATTGCTTCTCGCGCTCCTGGCGCCTCTTCTCGCGTTCCTCTCTCTGCAGCTGCTGGTCCTCCCGCTGTTGTCGCTCTTCCTCCCGCTGCAGCTCCACTTCCCGATACTGCCTTTCTCGCTCCTGGCGCCTCTTTTCCCGCTGCAGCTGCTCCTCTTCAAGCCGCAGCTGCCCTTCCTCTCTCACCTGCTCCCGTTGAGCTGGCTTGGCGTACAGTGTGTAGCGGCGTCTCTGGCTTTCCTCCTCTAGTTGCCACCTCCAGTTTTGGTCGTAGTGCTGCTCTTCCTTGCGTCGTTGCCTCTCCTGGTCTTCTTGAAGGCTCTGCACCTCCTCGCGGGTTTGCTGCTCCTGCTGCCTCTCGAGCAGCTCCTGCTCCTGGCGGCGCCTCTGCTGCTCTTGCCTGCGGGGCCTGGAGTAGACTTTGCATTGACGGGCGTCGGCCTCACTTTCTAGCTGCCACTGACACCTCGAGGTGCGGCTCTCGCCCCGCTCACTGATCTCTTCCTGCGTCGCCTCCTCCTGCTCGCGCCTTAGCTGCTGCTCCTTGCGCCGCAGCTCCTGCTCCCTCCTCTCCTGCTCCAAGAGCCGCTCCTCGCGCTCGCGCCTCTGCCTTTGCAGCTGCAGCTCTTCCTGCAGACGCTCCCTCTTGAGCTCCTGAGTCTCCCGCCTTTGGAGCTGCTCTTCCTGGCGCTCGCGCAGCTCTCCCCTTTGCCACTGTTGCTGTTCCACCTGGAGGCGCTGTCGCTCCCGTTGCTCCTGCCTCTCGAGCCTTTGCTCTCGGTTCAGAAGCTCCTCCGGCTCCCGACCCTTGGGCCTTTGCTGCAGCTCTTCCTCACCACACTCTTCTTGTTCTCGCCTTTGCAGCCTCTGCTCAAGTCTTTCTTGCTTCTCCCTCAGCTCCTCTTCCTCCGCGAGCTCCTCCAGTTCCTGCCTCTTCAGCCTGCGTTCTTCTAGTTGTCTGTCCTGGGGCTCGAATCTCCTTTGGTCTTCCCTCCTGCGATCTTGTAACGAGTTTCCCTTTCCCTCACGCTTGGCTCCCTTCTCATTTAGCCCCGAAGCCTGGCCAAGAGCGTAATAACAAGCTGCAGCCACTTTGAAAACGATCGCGAGGAATTCATGGAAATCGATTAGCCCGTCACGGTCGCGATCCTGAAGTTCCAGGACCAGGTCTACCGTTTCTGGGTCGTGTGGTCTCTGAAAAAGAAATCAAAACTTTTACAATGTACTATTTACAGGTAGTAAACTCCCCCACCCCCAACACTGTATATTTTATAATATGCTGGTACTCAAAAGACATTAAGAACAATTAGAAAAACACTCAGTGTATATGGAGTCTTGTCCGTATGTAAAACGTGAACAACCTAATTTTAAAGCATACATTTGTTGGAAATTTTTGCATCTTATAATTTAATGCTGATCAAAAGAACACAAGTTATAGCTGGGTAAATAAGAATGAATTCATCCTCAAGAGACAAAGGAGTGGAAATTTATGAAGATTTGCAGCAGCCATTTCTGTCTGAAATAGCCAGTATGCCAATTTGATTTTTATCCCATGTTTGAAAACAGAACCAAACATTTGCAGAAATACCATTTTACTAGAGAAGAGCCTCTCCTGAGAAGAAATTTCATAGCTCTAAATCAGTAGAGAAATTTCCTTTTCTTGTTATTTCTTACCCGAAGGATATCTCCAAATTCCCTCTCAAGCAGATTCTTCAGGTCTTTCTTGCTTAGTGTTGTCCCATCACAATCATGTGAGGCATATTGATTGAAAATCTTAGTGATGTTAAAGATGCTTCTCAGAAGTGGAGACATTTTTTTCTTCCTTCAAGTTCAAGTAAACCTAGAACAATAAAATTGGATTCAGAATCAAACTCTGTTTCTGATCTTGGGGAGGCTTTCTCCACAGTTTCAGGCAGATCCCTAAATAATTTGACTTTACCAAAGTATTTTCAACTGGGACTTTCAAAGCATCTTATCTTTGAATATGGCTCAGTTGGTAAAGAATCTGCCTGCAACACAGGAGACCCTGTGTTCACAGGAGACCCTTACCCACAGGTTTGATTCCTGGGTGGGGAAGATCCCCTGGAGAAGGAAATGACAACCCATTCCAGTACTCTTGCCTGGAGAATTACATGGACAAATAAGTCGGGCAGGCTACAGTCCATGGGATCACAAGTCTTTGGACACGACTGTGTGACTGATTTTTACTCTCATGTGCTTATGAAAGGAAAGAGAGATCCTGAAAAATTTCAAGCCAGGGACGCATCTCAGGCTATTCTGTAGTTAGCACTTGATTTTCTACCCAGTTTGTATTATCCATATCCTTTCTCTTTCTTCCTATTCCCTAGTATTTTTCAAATCAGACAGTGAAGATTGTAGATATTTAGATTTGATATGTTGCTACTCAAGAATTTTCCTCTAAAATTGAGTAATGAGGCTAGGTAAAAACCAAAAGGTGAAGGATCTTAAAATGAATAAGTAAACCTGATTGTAGCAGCAAAACATTTGGTGGTAACTGGAACAATAAAAAGGGAATGTGGATTATTTCCTAACTTTATATAGTCTTTTAGAGATCTAGAAGTATAACTCGTAAGTCACCAGCTCTTAAGTACTACTTCCTAGTCAAAGGTGGTATTGTAATATTTAGATATATTAATGCAGAAAACAAAGTTCATGTTATTAGCTTTAATTCCTACGTATTACAATTATTCAATCATTGTAAGTTTCTGTTAGGTGCTTTCTGACTGGCTGCCAGATTCTGTGAGTCAAACTGAACCTGGAAACCTGGCTTCTTTAGTTTCTACTCAACTTCAATACTTCAGGTGCCATAACCACATGAACATAGTCCATATTGGGTAGAAGCAATATAAAAAAGAGAACTGAGGGCTGGCAAACTTTTGAGAGAGCAGTTTTTAGGAAGATGAGCAACGTAAGTCATATATGACCATCCTTCAACCCCTGATGTGCAAACAAACTTACAGAGTTAAGTGCTCCATAGAAAGATGGCATGGAGTTAGTAGGAATTAGGTATATCTGTAAGATACTGATGCCATCTGTCATACAGACCCTCCTTAACCACCGCCCCCCCCCCCAACATCTACAACAGCTGGAAAATGACGAATTGTACAGAAGAACAGGATCCCACCGAATGGGACTTACCCGCTTCACCAGAGGAAGAGGTCAAGTGCTCGCTGACACTGCTGGCAGGTGTACTGAGCAGCCGGGAGCTGGGCCTTTTATAGAGGTTTTAATTGTGCCCTGAAGAGCAACTTAGAAAGGAGACACCCACTCTGTGGGATGGCCTGATTCATTCCTAACCAAGCCCAGCTCCACCTCTGTCTCCACAAATGACTTGTTTATCTTGCAATTTGCTCACGTAGCTCTTTGGCACGAGGTTCACAGACCTTTCCTCCTGACAGAGTACTGTCTCCACCTAACATGAAAGGATAGAATATTTGGCAGAATCTCTAATTTTCCTTAATTGTTAAAATTGAATAAAGAAATTCATGTTCAGAATCTTAGTTAATTGCAATTTCATTACAACGTAGTGACCTGTAAACCATTTACTTTATAAAAGATATAAATTCTAGGCTGAGGTTAAACAGAAATTTTGGCTTAAATTAATGAGACCCAGATCATTTCTTTCTGGGATATGACAGTCCATGGGGAACTGCCTGAGGCCATTCTAGGTCAACAAGAGTTTGTAAGGAACTCGTTTTAATTTCTTCTCTAAAAATGCTGGTGGGAAAACATTTGCATCTATATTCTTTGGTCTTATGATTTATCTTACAGATTGGAGATCATGTCCTTAGAAAATAATTTTGAAGGATACTTAAAAATATGTTTTCATCAAATTGTTCATAAAAGAACTTGAAACCTGTGAAATTTTATTATTAGTGATATTCTATCTAAATGAAATTTGCTCATTTCTTTTCTCATTAGCATATTGATGCCCCTGGAGGAAAAGAGCTGGTGTAATGCATTATTGTAGATATAATCATCTTGTTCAGCCCCAGTTACTGATAATTATGACACCTAAACACTTGAGTCTGGTTCTTGTGGAAGCACATTAAGGTAATCAGTCATTCTGACCCATTATGTTTGTCAGGGCTTTCTCAACTCTGGCGATCATTTGCAAATATCAGCATTGTTTTATTGTAAGGACCTGGATTTTATCCCTGGTTGACTCTCACCCTTACATTTCAGCCAGTATGAAACTTTGATTTGTAATAGGTTTATGGAGACTATTAAATGATTCAGTGGTTTTTGGCATTTATCTCTCTCCCTTTGTCCAACAGAGGCAAGTATAGGTTTTTTGAATTTTGATGAGACTCTGTAGGATCCTCCAATGGAATACAAAGATTTGGGACCTAAGGCCTGATGGCTGTATTTTAATGTTCAAGTTGGTCTGAATGATAGTGATCTTGAATTCCATTCATCCCTTCCCTTGTTGCTATGCTGGAAGTGGGGTGGAGAGGAAAGTGGAATTGATTGGCAATAGGAAGACAGTTGTAAGTCTGGCTCAATTCTTCATCCTTAAGGACGTCAGCATCAATGTCTGTGATCTAAGGGTTCTGTTAGAACTGTCACCATTTCTTCGACTTAGCAAACTTGATGTAGCAGCTCCTTAGTGAAGAATAAAGATTTCTCTTTTTGCCTTCTATTTAGGGTTTTATAGAGTTCTCTTAATCTTTGAATTCTAAGATGGAATCATCATGAGCACTATATACACTGTAACCACAAACCATCACAGAACCTCTGTATCTCACACAGGGTAATAGCCCTTTTTATGGGTGTCTTTCAAGGAATTCCCTTGACAAACCTTGCCTTATGTCTGATTCTGTTTTTATCTGCCTGTATGATGTTACAGGACCTCAGCCCAGGTGGTGGGATGCATTTGTATGATATAATTACACTTCTATAGTTAATACACTCAAAAAAGGACTGGACATTCATTAGGTTCTAAGAGAATAAAGGGAAAATACTAATCATCTAGTGGATCTTCCCTGTAACTCAGATAGTAAAGAATCTGCTTGCAATGCAAGAGACCCGGGTTTGATCCCTGGGTCAGGAAGGTCCCCTGGAGAAGGGAATGGCAATCCACTCCAGCATTCATGCCTGGAGAATCGCATAGACAGAGGAGCCTGGTGGGCTATTAGTCTGTGGGGTTGCAAAGAGTCAGACATGACTGAGCAACTAACACACACACATCAGTCATCTAAAATAGTTGAACAAGCAGAAACAAATATAGAAGCAAACCCAAAAGGAAAGATGCTTCTGAACATCCTTGAGAAAGTTGCTTCTATTGCAGTCACAGTAACAGAAAAAACCCTTCACCACTCTGAATGAATCTAAATCTTAAATTCAGTGGTGGCTCTCTTCAGTTCAGTTCAGTTGCTCAGTCATGTCCGACTCTTTGCTACCCCGTGGACTATAGCCCACCAGGCTCCTCTGTCCATGGGATTCTCCAGGAAAGCATACTGGAGTGGATTGCCATTCTCTTTTCAGTTCAGTGGCTTTCTTACCCACTTTGTTTAAAGTCAGTACAATGTGAGAGAAAATATTTAAAAACCTGAACAAACCTAAGAGAACTAGCCTCTCTTCCTTGCTGTTCTTGGTCCATTATCAGAAACACTGTAAGCAGGTTCAAATGCTAAATTGTAAAATCAGATTTTATATTCTCCTAATGAAGTGATCCTCATTGTTATATAATGTTCTTGTATTTAACAGTGTCATTAGTTTACAATATTATTTTAAAAGGACCTCCTGACATAATGCTTAGATAGGAAATGATTTTCTTTGCTTTCTCATTCCTTAAAAGGTTGGTAAATGTCAGAGAATGTAGAAAATTATCAATTTCTAACTTATTCATTCCTTTTTTTTTTTTTTTAAGGACCAACTTGGAATCCTTGAAATGTGGCAATGTCGCTCATTGTGGTTCATTAAGAAATGTGTTGTTGTTTTTTTTTAATCGCCTGAAGATCTCTATATTCTTTGTAGACAAAAAGTCTCTTTCTATTTATTTTATAGACTGGAGACTGAGAGGTCAGAGAATGTCACTGACTGGCCCAAGAATGATCCAAGTGCCTGTGCTCAATTCTGCAAAAATGTTCCTCTTTATCAAGGGTTAATGATGGTAAGTTCAGAGCACAGCTTCAGTGTTGTACTGTTTCTTGGCTTTCAGAAGATTTGAACTCTTTAAGAGGAATTGAAAAGAGATTATAAACTTTGTATCACTCAGATGCTTTATAATTATTAGATCAATCATGAAGCCTTATCTGTGTTAAAATCTTTGGGTGTGGAGCTCTGTTGGGGTAACAGACAGAGAACTGAGATGGTCTTAGGTTTTTCCAGAGAGACCACAGAACCCATTTTCTCTTCTCAGAACCCAGAAAAAGTAGATGATATATTTGACATTCTGTGGCATTCTAGCAGAACAAGGGTCTGTATTGGCCTTACTGGAAAAACCACCAAAAAGAAAATTTAGATAAAGCAGTGAAAATTCCACTGTCATCCTCAGCCTAATGGGCTTCTCCAAAACCCAGTGTGAGCCATGATGTGGATTCTGGGAAAATATCTAAGTAGGATGATTTTAGATGGCTTTAAAGAAAGTAAGTTTCATTGGTAAGTTCTCTATAAACATTTCTTCAGTGAAGACTTTTTCTTTAAAATTATATGTTAAACCTTTCAAAATTTCCTGTTGTTTCTTTTTATTCAATGACCTATCCCCTGGAACCTCACCTCTGCCAGTCCAAAATCTAACATATTTTCTCTGAGGCCTCACACAAGTTCCATCTACTCCCAAAACCTTGCTTGACCTTT